CCCAGCCGATATCATGATGAGCTCAAACCTTGCTGCTCCCTGTGGCTGGGTTCCGGGGCTGGCTGAAGGCAGCGGTGCTGGTCTCTTCCCGCAGGCTCCACCGTGTACACCTGCATGCTGAACCAGAGGGGTGGTGTGGAGAGTGACCTGACCGTCAGCCGCATCAGCCCCGGGGCCCCAGCCTCCCCCCTGGCCCCCGCCTTCGAAGGTAAAAGCCCTGAGCAGGGGGATGCTGGATGCAGGTGTGTTTCTGCACCGCTGTGGGATCGCAGGCTGGGGTTACCCACCCGCAGCTCAGCTCCCAGCCTTCCACAGAGACCTTTCCAGTCCCGGCAGCGGTGGTGGGAGGCTTGGTCCAGCATCTCCTCCATCCCCACCATGCTCGGGGTGATCACGTTTACCTAATGGCAGGTGCACGCTTTTTCCTCCTCTGCCCTTCAGTCCCTGTAATCAGATTATCCCCCTTGTCCCCAGGGCTCTGCACTGCTCATCGGTGTTATTGGGTTTGTCCAGCCCAGGCTGGCAGCTCTGACCTCTCCCCATGTCCTTATCAGCTGCAATAAAGAAGAATTGAAGCAGAGCAGAGCAGCCAGCCCAGAGGGCAGAAATGGCATTAGGCAGCAGCAGCAGCAGAGGAGGAGGAGGGTGTTGAGCTTGGCTCCAGCAGCCATCAAAAGGAGGTTCTCACTTGGGTGGCTGCAGAGCCCTGTCCCCATGCACTGACGCCTTCAGATTTGCTGCTTGGAAGGTTCCAGCCCAGCAGCGGGTGCAGCCCCAGGGCCGGAGGGTTGCAGGGGTGACCTCAATGTCTTCACCTTGGGGTGATCGGGTGCCAGTGAATAATTCCCTTCCCATGGGAGAATCCCGCATTGCTGTTGTCTGGGCGCTCGCGGGGGCAGAGGGTGATGGAAGCGGGTGGCAGAGCTGCAGGTCTGTCGGGCGATGGAGGAGTTTAATTGCAGCAAAGTCTATTTTTCCGATTACAGTGGGTGGCTGCACTTGCTGTCGTTATGACAGACTATCAGAGAGAAATTCTGTAGTGGCAGGAGAGACAGAGGGAAGACTGATTCCATATTAATCAGCTCTCAAACTCCATCCCTGGGGATTTTTCCACCCAGGATTACTGATGAGATGAAATTCCTCCTCATACACAGTGCAGCCCCTGCACTGGTTATGGCCCAGTCACTGCCGCCCTCCCTGCTCCCACTGGCATTTCCCTCCTTGCTTTGGCCTCCATTCTGTACTGGGACAAAGAGCAGATGCTTTTGCTGTTGATCTCGAGGGGCAAATAATTTTTTCTCTTCCCATGCTGCTCATACAGGCAGAGGTGCCGCTAGGGCTCAGACGGCATCTTTTACGTTTTCTTCTTTCAGGTTTTAATGGTCATTTGTTTTTCACTCTGCTGAGTTCCACAAAAGGCAGCATGGACATTAGCAGAGCCTCAAAGCCCTCCTTTGCCACAGCTCTATTTAACTCCCCTTTCATGGCCGTCCCCCTGGGCTGTGCAAGCTGGAGGGGCTCAGGGCTGCAGCTCAGCCTCTGGAGAGCAAAACCAGCCCCGAGCTGAGCTGGGCATCACCCCCAGCCCCACGCTCTCGAGCCTGAAAGGCTGCCGGGGGGTGTTTTCCAGGGGACGGCTACTACCTGGCTATTGGTGGGGCTGTGGCTCAGCACAACTGGTCCCACATCACTGCTGCGCTGCAGGACATGAAGCTCCAGTGCAAGCTCCTCGACTGCTCAGAGGAGCTGGGCATGATGAGCATCCAGGGCCCCCTGAGGTGAGGAGCAGTGTTGTGGGCCCCTCCTTGCATCCTGACCATGGAGGGTAGGAGGGATGGACGGTGAGATGCAGGGATGGATGGAGGGATGTTGGGATGGATGGAGGGATGTCTCAGACGCAGGTTCCTGTGTCAGGCAGGGGTGGGTGTGAGCCCCATGCTCCAGCTCTGGCTGCAGCAACACTGCATTTGCTGGGGTATTGGCATTTCTTTTGAGGCTCTCCACTCCCCGCGTGT